CCACTTTATAATTACCTTGTTACCTTTATAGATATCCTTTAAAATATTAGTGACTACAGCTTCCATGCCTAGTGTGTCCAGTATTCCCCAAAATTCCTCTTGAAGCACGCTATCGTACGCTCCCTTTATATCAATTAATGCTAGCCACAGGAGCCTGTGTTTCTTTTCTGATATTTCGATCCACCGTGTCAGTGAGAACAGATTGTCTTCCAACCTCCTGTGTTTCCGAAACTTATTCTGCAGTTCCCCCAGCACCTTCTCATCCTCTATACATGCCTGTAGTCTATCCTTTATCATCTGCATCGCCAGCATGTAGGCCACTGATGTCACTCTTATAGGACGGTAGTTGTTTATGTCAGCTTTGTCCCCCTTTCCTTTATAGATCATGCTCATCCTGCTAAGTATCCATCCATCGGGAACTTCTCCAACGATTATTGTTTTGCTCACTGCCTCTCTCAAAGCCTGCTTAGGCTTCGGACCTAATGTCTTTATCAGCATAATTGGGATGCCATCTGGGCCTGTTGATGTACTACTAAGAACCTTTTTCTCAGCCCTTCCCCAGTCTTGATGTGAAAATGGAGCCATTGCGCCACTTAATTCATCCTTGTCTATTGGGATGGATAAAGCACTTCTTTGTTGAAATTTTTCTGTCAACCTTGTTCTTATATATTCATTAGCTTCGTCCCCTTCTAGTCTAGCACCTTGAGCTGTAGTTATAAACCTCTGCTCTAGCCTCGTCTCATTTGTTAGGGAGTTTAGTAGGTGCCAAAATTTCGCAGCTGCCTTTCTATCTTTTTATGTACTTCTGCCAGCCCCTGGGCTCCCTTTCTTCTAATGTCTTCATTGATCAGAAGGGATGCATCCTTTCTACAGCTTAGAAAGTTTTCTAATTTTCTTTCAACATCACCTGTCGGTTCACCCCGCTGCTTAGCATGTCTGTGTTTCCTAGAGGCTTCAGGACGTTTTGCTATGGCTCTCTTAACTTCCTCATCCCACCAACGTTTGGGTTTGGGTCTTCTTTTCTGGGGTGACTTATCACGTGTCTTAGCAAGCTGTAGCTCAAACAGTCTCATTAGATTCGTGTATGTCCACACTGTTTTATTATCCTCAGTGATTACTTTCTCAAAATTTGTTTAGTGGCAATTTCAATTTGCCTTTCTGAAGAAAAACTTTCCTGTAGTTGCTCATTTCTTCTCCTTCCCACTTTCACTGCTCTTCCAAAACTTAGCTTGATACGTTTGTGATCACTGCCCAGACTCCTGAAGCCATCTTCACCTCTGTGCATTCCCCTGAGCTTATCATACATCCTATGTGACATCAGTGCGTAATCTATCGCTGACTGCAGCCTTCCTACCTCCCTGTTATTTGCCCTTCACACTTCTCGGTACTGTTGCAAATGATCAAATCAAGCTTTTCACACATATCCATGATCATTTTGCCTGTCGGGTCGGTATACCCATCTATATCTTCTATGTTTGCATTCATATCTTCTAGTATAGTTATCTCGCACTCTCCTCCTAACTCCTGAATGTCCTTTGATATACACTCTACCATTGCCTGGTTTTCCTCTCTGGCTTTTGCTCCCGTCCACAAGTACACAAAACCAAGGAGTGTCATTTGCCCTGCCACTTTCCCTTTTAGTCAGAAATGTTTCTTGCACTCCTGCTTGACCCTTTGCCAGTCTGTACTTTTATGAATGAACGCCCCAATACCACCCCCCTTTCTGCTGCCTTCTATTCTATTACAGTATTCACACACGTAGTCCGGATTCTTAGGAGGTTGTTCCATATCCCTGAGATGTGTTTCTACAAAACCGTATACCATCGGCCTCTCTTCCTCAGCTGTTCTTCTATCTCTTACCACTTCAGCCTGTTCCTACCACCCTGCATGGTAATATACCCTATGTCTGCAAGTGGCTCGGTGCTCAGTGGCTACGTCTATTTCTGCCCCGGACTCTACCTATCTTAGATACTGGTGCCACTGTGGAATCGTTTCTGTCCATACCACCTGTCAAAGTGTCTCCCTGGTTGTTTTCCTCGTTACTAGCTATCCTGCACCCCGAAGGGCTTGCTTGCCTGTCAAAAAAAGCTACTGCGCGTCCTGCAAGTCACCAACCCACCTCATGACCTTGCCGCCCATCGAAGTGAATTCTGTCTCGTTGAAAACCACCCCACCTATGCACCTCTCTGTTTATTTCCACCACCTCAAAGCGTTTCTCTCGACTCATCTGCCATATCTCTTAGTTTGCGTTGACAACCGCTCTTTGCAGGTTGCTATCACGCACCGGCACCTCAGGTATCGTGCATATCGCTACCTGTACCTGAGGAGAAGTGGCGCGCATGCCATCGACGCCTAATCGCCAGTGCAGTTGATAGTCCTGCTGTATCTTCATTTAAGACATCGTGTAAACCGCCTGAAACTATCACGAGGTTTCGTCTATCTTCTGTAGTTTTGAGCTTTGCGCTCGCTTGCTTCATGACTGCTTCCAGCTTGCGTCCTGGGAACGCATCTACTGCAACCCTCTTGTTACCTCTTATCCTCTGTTTGATGGCTTCTGTGCATCGATTTAAAGTCGAGTCCCCGGCGATTATCACGTGCTGTGACTTTTAAGCTGGAGCGTCCTGCACCTGGGGGTTACTTGCACCTGTGACTCCGCCTGCTTTGTCCCCTTTCAGCCCCACCACTACATCGCTCCAGCTGTGCCTTGCGACAATTGAACCGGCTGAACCTGGTTTTTCCAAACTTGCAAGTGTAGAAGCGGAAGTAGAGGAGGCTGACCCGAAGTGCAGGCAATGTGAGGTCGAGGAAAAAAATGGAGAAAATGATGGTTACCCAGAGTGACCTGCTGATGAGAATCACCGAGCTCGAGACTGCGTCGGCGACAGAGCAAGTGAAAACAATGGCAATGGGAGAAAGGCTGAAGTCCGCCGAGGTAGCACTAGCGAAAGTGAACAGAGGAGTGGCCTATGAAAAGAACAGAAGGGAACCGGCAACCAGAACCGCGGAGAAGAAATCTCCGCCGTTCTGGTTGCCGGTTCCCTATTGTTACCTCCGTAGACCGCTCCTCTGCTCACCTTGGCTGCTGCTTTCTCGGCGGACTTCAGCTTTTCTCCCATTGCCCTCGTTTTCCCTTCCTCTGTCGCCAACGCAGTCTCCAGCTCGGTGATTCTCATCAGCAGGTCACTCTGGGTAACCAACATTTTCTCCATTTTTTCCTCGACCTTACATTGCCTACACTTCGCGTCAGTTTCTTCTCCTTCCGCTTCTACACTTGGGTCCACTTTCAAACCAATCCCACATCCTGAACACTTCACAGTCTTTTTAACCATGTCTTTCCGACACCAATTGTCCCCATGACTTGTCTCACTCGATAATTACAAAACTCGAGCCCTGCCCTACGAAAAAGAGAAAGTCTAAGCTCTACTACAAAATTTGCGTGTTCAATTTATGTGCACCTCCACCATGGGGTGACAAAAGAAAAAGAAAAACAAAAAACAAAAAACCAAACACACACACACACTCTCAAACTAACAAATACCTGGTGACTGACCACTGAAAAATCCGTACAATAAAATAAGTGCTACAGGGATTTTAACTGCTGCCCTATACTTGTAAGGACAAGCTTAAGACATGCAAAACAACTTATCTGCGCAGTCGATCGGGAGCACTCAAAAAACACGTCCATCCACCATGACAGTCCAAACCGAACGCGATGCCGTTATAGCACTCTCTATTGGGCGGCAAACAAAACCGGAAAGTGCGTGACTTCAAGATAAGGACGTATAGACGGTGCTTGGAAGTGCCAATAGAGCCTCAGCTCGGGTTCCCTGTTTCCTTAGGTATACACTGACTGAGAAAAAAATGGCCGCGTATCTGTGTGCTGCGCTGCAAATATTGTGGAAAGACGGTAGTCTTCTGCCAGCCATATTTTGTGCATAGCGTTGCATTTTCAGCGCAGCGTAAAAAAGACCAGTGTCTTTAGCATTGCTTCTGTGTTGTTTCTGATAAGGGAACACACCACCTAATACTTTCTTATTGATGTTGCGCCTGGGATATGCGTATTATTGGCTTTTTGATCAAAATGTTTACAAATATGAATGAATCTACCAGTTCCAGATGCCTGAACGTTCAGCAAGTATTCTAATCCTCGCTGGATAGATGATTCCTGTGGCAGACACCAAATATTCTGCGTTCATGTATCCGAAGAAATGCAATCTTTTTTCAAATTGAACATGGCTTTTGTCTTCGAATCGTTCAAGTAAATGCAGCAGAGACTATGTGAGTTTGACTGCGAATGTGCAATGCTCATGAAAGTGGGGTGACATTGCATGTTTCTAGCAGAGAGCCACTGTGAAAGTACTTCATAACAACTCTGTGTACTACACATGAGCGAATTATCATTTACTTCTTCTTTATGCGCACGCGAAATCAGTGAGGAGTCAATTTATGCTAATGCTGGAATCCAGTGTTAGCAGTGTTTGATAGCAAACTATCGATGACTGTAGAACAAATGATTGAAAGGGTGGGAAAGACTTAAAGCAATCGTGCGTACAGCTGGTATTCAGCATCATCTGTACCACATCCTAAACATAGAGAATGTTTTCTTCCTTTAGTGCTTCCCTCGCGCGCTGTCAGACTTTATGATTTATATCTACCACGTTTTGTTGTAAGCATTCTTCCTACTGTCATTGCCTATTATTATTGTGCGTAATGCTTTTTTGGCTTATATTAACAATACATATGAACTTGATGGCGTATTTGTGCTCGACGCAACTGTTGAAGGTTTTGTCAGCGTAATGACGTTTTTGCTCATTTATGCTAATACGCTGTCTTAAATTTTGTTTTTGTTTTGCCCCCCCCCTCCTTCTCACTGGTATAGAAAGAAAGACGGAAGCGTACCTAATGTACACTCAGTCTGCTCAATTCAATCATTAATGATTCATTCCGAACTAGTGGAAAACACGTGCATATCAGTGCGCTTTCGGCCAACTTACCACAGAACTCAGGGCACTGTACACGGCATCGACGGTTCCATTGATGATGTGTTGACTCTGAGAACATGCTTTAACTCTCGCTCTCGAAGGCGCTTGAGGGAGTCGAGATGACTTTGTTCCCAAGCGTACATCTTCACGGTCCGTATGGAACTGAGCAGATCGAGCATGCTCTTCAGTCGGTCGTCGCGAAGCTTCATACTGCGACACTGCGAAGGAAAAAAACAGAATAACACATTTGGTGGCATCTTTACCTTTTTGTAAGATTTCAACACCATAGCTTCCTCCAGGCTATGGGGCCATGGCAAGGTCACATAACAATTAGTGATTTTAAGTAGAAAGTAAAATTAAGCGGTCTATTAAACTGTCACGGTGATAGTGGCAGACGTGAAAGTGGCCGACGTGGCTGTGCGATATCGCCCCTTTATCGGAAGCTGCCCAAGCTGCCGCCGTACAAGTATGCCTGGAGCGTCACCTTGTGCTCCTCAGATTCGCGCCTGGAGCTCTAGCATGAGCTGCGCGAGAAGCATGGCGTGGTGGCTAGTAAAATGAAAATAGTATTAAGAGGTGATGATATCACGAAAATGTTACCTCCTGCCCGCGGAAATTAGTCCGTGATGAAAGCTAAGAGAGTGTAATAACAAGTGAGTCGTGCTGCGAGAACACAAGTCGTACGCTTGACAGGCCTCTATGGTTTTTCCGGTGGGCGGCACCGCGAGAAGCGCAGTGGGTGGGGGTCACGACGAAGACACACTGATGGCCCCATTGAGTAAAACCGAAAAGGCGTCAATCGGTAGCGGACAGTGCTGTGGTGGCAATAAAAAAGACGATGATGATAAATGGCGAGAATAACTACGCCACAGTTCCTGTCCAGATATAAAATGGTTCGTAAAAATTATTTCAGCCAAAACAAGCCGTATTAGTCGCTTGCTGTAAACCCCCCACCACCGCCGGTGATCGCCTTTTTGCCATGGCACGTGTGACGTCACGTGCTTCAAGGAAGGAATTTGTCGTCTATCAAAAATGTTTCCGCCCCTGCAAATTCTTCAATTTCACTGCTAGTGCGAAGAAAGCCAAATATATCGACATCACGTGCCGCTCGCCGCGGAACGAGCTCATTCGCTGGAAGGCGTGGTGTCTATCTGCACAGCTGGCTGGTCAATATGCGACAGCTTAGTGTTGCCGGACTCTAAGACCACCCGCATGTTTATAAACATTTCCAATGATAAAATATGTTCTGAACCAAATGGCGTAAGCTTTTTCTAGCCTATTTCAAGGATTTACAAACAACACTGGTCACGATCGATCGAAAAGTGGGTGTCATGACACCCTATAGTGGTAAAATCAGAACCTATCTTCTTCCAAGAGGTAACCAGTGGCAGTGTGAAAGGCAGGCGTTTATTTGCCATTGTGTTCTTAGTTTTTATTCTTGAACAGCTTTCCTTGTGCAGGTCGTTGTTTTCTGTGAAAACAGCCATGCAGTATCCACGTTAATTGTACTCAGGAAGGCTGGTGGGTTTATACTGGTATACTGTAATAATGTACAGACGTGCTGAATGTAATTATTCCGTGGTGGTGATGGTAAAAGAGAAAGCAGTGACACTTCTAAGAACGAAACTCTCTTCTGGGCAGAATATGTCGCAGTTTAAAAAAAAAAACAAGCTGTATTCATGTTCTTGTTGGACAAGCCTGTACGCCCCCCTTCCCACGTTTTTTGTGCATACTGATATTTTTCAGCGTGAACGCCTCTACACATGCTACTAGGTAGATCACGTTCAGCGTCATTCGCTGTATTCTCGAATGTCACATAGGCACCGTTTTCAAAACTTCTCCCCGATTGCACGGTTCCGCGTTTATTGAACACACCATTGTGTTTTGTGTCGAAGCCACTCGACTTGCTCCTGCGACACAAGCGCGCTTTGCGGCCTTGCTCTCATCATTCTTTTGCTCCGGGTGGGAAGTGCCGACGCATTGAGCCAATTGCGTGATTCTCAGATAACGGTCTACAAAGAAAGAAATATATAGCTAAGTACTACGAACGACCATTCACCATGAGAAACGGTGACGATCTTCAGTTACGTTGTTCACTACTTCGCACTCACGTCCGTGCGGAGCACTATTAGTGACAGCATTCTCTGCGTCGTTTCCAAGAGCGCATGCACGACCCAGAGAATGGCTGCGCCGCCATACGTCATTCATTTGTTCGGCATGAGAGGGGAATAGATTTTACAAACGGCCTAACAGCAGATTACCATCGAAGAAAAGCGTCCACAGCTTATCCGTGAAAAAATTCATGTTCGCCTTGACCTTGATATAATATGGGCCCTGGAGGCAAAAGCGCACCGGCACTCTGTCAGTCTTGCGAGCCGAATGCAAGCGACAACAGCAAGCTAAGCAAGTGGTATTGGAGGAAGAGCATCATCGACTCGGCAATGGCGGGAATGCGTACGCCGGGATGGCAGTTTCTGGAGCGACGTTCTGCTGCAACGTCCGTAAGCGCCTGCGAACGCACCTTTCAGCTTCACCGGTTAAGCATCTGTAAATAGAGTGCTGTGGTGGTGATTGGTTTTTGTGTAGCATTTAGTGAACTTCCTCATTGATAACTGGCGCTCCAAAGACGACACGAGGTATGGCTTCTGTAGAAGAGGCTACGGATGGACGCATGGACGGAAGCATGAATTGTATGTGTAATAACGAAAACACAATAGAGGTTGTTATGTTTCGGAATAAGAACAAACTATCTCCATCTCGCCTTTATATAATAATACTGAGTACTTCTAAAATTGAGATATTTAATAATTTTAAATGATCTGACACATTTTTTTTTCAAAGAACATGACTTGAGATTATCTTGTGGGATATGTGTTGCTAAATTAGCTCAGGTAACAGGCGTAATCGGTCGGATTTTACATTCGCTTCAAAAAAATTTGCTTCTGCTACATCGTTCACTGTTTAACTCTCATTGAAACTATTGTCAATAACCATAGGTTACGACGACAGCTATTGACGTTGGTAACATATACATGCTTCGGAAAAAAAGTACTATGCATAGTTTATTGCTCATTTTCTAACATTCCCTACACTCTTGTTTTGAGGTTTCAAATAATTAGGGTGCACCAGCATTATAGTTATGCAATAGCAAAAAATAAAGTCAAATCTGAAATTTTAGCCTCATTAAAAATCTAAGCATTCTAGCCAACCTGCATGCGAAAAATCAAAACTACCCCACCCGTCATGAAAAAAATGGGAGGTCGATATAACATGGTTAAACTCGGGCAAACAGTGCTTATATTGCCCTCGTACCGCTCTTCTGAATCACTGTGACCTAAAAAGTTTGGACCTATTCAACTGTTCATACCACCATAACCGTGAAATATTCGCCAATGTGTAAGACTTGATCTTTAAAGTATATTACATTCAGTTACATCCTCGTTTTTTTTTTTTTGAGTCACAAAGTAAAATACCTATATATACATTTTCTTTTTTTATTTCATGTAAGTACATCTGCGAATACTATGTATGTCGGGTATCATGTTGTCATCTATGTCTTTATGTGTAGCGTATAATGTGTTTATAATTTTCCCAGATGGCAAATGCGTTATTATGTTTGTTTTCTACGCAGTGTAATAATCTCATCTCTCATCTTTAGTTCATTTATGTAATAAATTCAACTATATATGTACGCCTTGTTATGCAATCACCACCCTCGAGGTTATGCATCACAATGTTTAGCGTAGTGCTGCTACTTCTCTGACTTTTTTACTTGGTATTTATTTTTTTTTCTGCTCTGTTCTTTATGGGGCTGGGAACTACACGTTTTCCCACTCTCTTTAAATCAAGTGCCAGACTAAATATTCCACATGCCCTGGAAATAGTCTTAGCGCCAAGCTATTTATTTGATGTGCCAAACATTTATTCCAAGCGCAAACTCAGTTAGGTCGCGTGCCAGTGAGTTTAACCCAAGTTCATCAGGTTTAATTCAATTGTCAACGGCTTTAAGTCAGTTGCCAGCCAGTTTATCTCATGCACCAGAAACAAACGGTTCGCTACTTTATACAGTGTATATATGTCGGAATAATGTAAACAAGGAGTGGCAGAAAGAACTTTTCACTCGCTTATACATGCTATGGCCTATTAAATGAGGTGCCGTGCTTTTTCGCTCTAACGTATTGGTGTCATAGCGTCGAATACTATGAACAGTGCGTATTTATTGCAATTATGGGTACCAAATGTATTTGCTCATAGAGCCCATGTTAGTCTATGCTTCGTCGCTACTGCATTATTCCGGCTGATCGTACACATCATTGCATATGCAGAGACTGATTTCGTCTGATCAGCAGATGGCAATGGCTTCTTATTTGCTGAGGCGTTTACAGTCGTCTGCTCAGCTCAGTGAGAACGATGGTGACTGATGATGATAATTATCCGTTCTTGAATCAGCAATTACGATTTAAAAACCTAACTAGCATTTATTTGGGTTTCATGTGAAATTCAGTTCTTTTTATAGAAGCATCAAAGGAGATAGTACTGTTTTCATGTAATTAACAGATGGCACTGTAGTTGCTTGAACGTGTTTGCTTGAAACACGTGTGTTTCACCGGATAAGCTGAATTTTGTTCGAATAAAAAGATATTAGCTAATATGAATGTAACATATGACTTTCGTTTTCCACATCAGAATTATAAGTTTACGTCTTATACGAACTGCAGGGTCAAAACCTCTCCGAATTGATAAGACAGATGCCTGGGCTTGTTTGGTCACTGGAAATCAACATATTTGCAGAGCACAAGACTACGAGTGGTTACGACGTAACTACGGAAGAAGAGACAAGGAAAGAAAGAGCGCTGATTTCAACTGAAACTTTATTAGCGAAAACAGCTGGAAATATATACTCGAGACATAACATCACCGCGCAAACCGCGCAACCTATTGCATCACAGCAAGACAATATTCATCTCATCATATGATTACAACGCCACAGGTCAGCACAAACTCGCGATCTATTGTATCAAAGCCAGAAACTCGATATCGTTTTTAGTCAGAGCAAGCGAAGGCATGCTGATACATTGATCACCCGGCATTTGCATTTCATTGACCTCCATTATCTCCCGTGTTAGCTGGTGACGCTGTTCGGCTACAACAGTGCACTTTTTGAATTCCGGTCTGCAACCACAATCTCTACCATGAGTGCCCAAATGACCTTGCACAT